ATGATCATTATTTGTTCCAGAACAAACAAGAACATTATCTGCTAGAGACAACTTTATGCCAGAAATCAAGCAAGCAAGCCAGCTGCCAGAGGCATAGCAACAAATATTACTTGTGTGTGTGTGTGTATATAAATTTATATATATATATATATAAATATATAAAAATTATATATATATAAAGTGTTTTTTTCTGTCGAAGCACCTGGTCTACCCCAATATGGGAGGGAGCATACTGCTTCCCTTTCGCCTTTCAGTTTCAATCCAGGAGCCCTCAAACAGTCGCATTCACGACAAACCATTTAATACCAAGTATTTGCTGATAAAGAACTTGTGGCTCACAGGTTAATACAACTGCCTAATATGCAGGTAGCCCAGGTTCGAATCCAAGTAAGGGTATGGCTAGCTGATGAGAGCTAAAGAGCTTGAAATAGATCTATACTAGTCTCCCTTTATTTATCAGCAAATATAAATTTGGTGTAAAATGGTTATATGCTGAGATATATGCTGAGATGTAGTAGATGAGCTCAAAGTAAATATTAATATCTCTCTCTCTCTCTCTCTCTCTCTCTCTCTCTCTCTCTCTCTCTCTGTGTGTGTGTGTGTGTGTGTGTGTGTGTGTGTGTGTGTACACACTTGTTATGGCTTAATAACAAGCCCATCTACTACATCTCAGCATTATGTGTAGATAATAGGATTATAGTTTAGTCAATACCCCAGATAACTGTGATTTATGGTAAGCCAAGGTTAAAAATATAATATAATATAATAAGCTTAGTGTTTCAGATGAACCCAACCATTACTTTCTCCAAATATGAAAGAAATCTGCATATTTGACCTTGCTTGCCCAATTAATAGTTGTTATGAATCTCTCTGACTGGCTAGACAGGGTATAATATGAAAATAATAGAGATGGTATAGTGGTTAAGTGCTGGCCTAGGAACTCTCCCTCAGGCATGAAAGCCACCCTCACAGCCCAACCCACCCGGTAAAGAGGTTGTTGGAGGGGAAACAGGAGGGAGGTATTAGGTATTTGTGTTGCTTTATGTTACATGTATTAAAAAGTGGCAACAACATCATAATATGAAGAAGTTAAATTGCTCTGGGACTTCAGAATTTAGACAGACAGGCACCTGCCACATAACAACCACGACTTAACAGTTGTCGATAAGAAAGACAAACAAGTCTGGATAGTGGATGTGGCAGTGGCTGGAGACAGCAGAATGGAAGAGAAAGAACTGGAGAAGATAACAAAATACAAAGACCTACAAATAGAAATAGAATGACTATGGCAAGGCAAGCAAGGGTAGTACCAATTAGTAATAGGCGCCTTGGGTGCAGTCCCAAAACAACTGGAGTGCCACTTGAACACCATTGGCATCGACAAATTCGCCATCAGTAAATTGAAGAAGAAGGCTTTACTTAGAACAGCTTGCATCCTACGACAATATCTGTAATACCGTCAATCATCCAGATTTGCCTATCCCAGGTCCTTGGTAAGGACTCAATAGGTAGACAAAAATGCCGAACCCAGTCTTAACATCTGGCTGACCACGTGAATAATAATAATCACAATCACAATAATCCCATTATGTCTTTGGAGGCTTAGGTGCTGAGATGAATGTCCATAGCTCGACTCTGGCACTTAAAATTTTGTGTGGCTAGGCTGTGGTTGTGATGGGCTCTAGAATAAGTGTACAGAAAGTAAGACGTGATTTTAGAACCAGTACTGCTTATTTTTCATATTTAAAATGGTAATAAAAGATCCAAAAGCTTGGGTAACAAAATTGGTCAGGGAGTTGGTTAGCTTTTTGAATAGGTTCTTTCTCATCCCAACCAGTATATTTCCTAGTTCTTCTGCAACCACACTGTTCTCAATTGTTCCCTTCGCCTGCAAGAGCAGCTTACAGACGGGTCCACAAGTGTTATGGCCATTTCTGGAACATTAATGCCAGATCAGATTTTGGTCTCGTATTCTGTGCAGGATGGATGGAAGAAACTACTATAAGCAGCTGCTCTCCTGCCATCAACCCCCCCCTCCCAAATCAGATAGTTTAAAATAGGCAGCATCTCATTATTGATACAGGAGCTTCCACCACCAGTGTCTTAAGTCTTTTGGCAGTGTTGGCAAAACAAGGTGTTTAATTTTATTAAAGTTATCAACATGTCTATTCTTAAATCCTTCTCTCCCCCCCCCCCCGCCCCCGCCTTTCAATGAATCTGCTTCTTGGTGAAAATTTAACATTCCTATAAATACCGAATGAATTGCAATCCCCTTCTATTTTTTAAATTTGCTGTAGCCTATTTTGCTAAGAAATTGCACTTATGTAGAAACATTTTAACAAACTTTTTGTTGTTACATCCAGGTAACAAGCATGGTAAGTATTGTCAGTAAAACAAATATATACTTTAACTATGCTTGGCAGAGATATGTATATATGTATGTATACATATGTGTATGTGTGGGCACATATATATGTATACATATATATATTCTTTTTTAGTAGCTTTAACTATACTATTAGCCTGTGCTGCTTCTAAAGGAGCTGTTCAAATTAAAAAGCTGCTCACTTCTCATTACTCTGTATGAGCTTTCAAGGGAATACTTGTGTGAATCTGTATTCCACATTGGATGGCATGCATTTCTAGCCAGCATGCTTGCAACTTTGCTTGTAATCATAGGTTTGCCTCTTAGTGCTTCTGTCCCTTCACTATTCAGTCTTACATCCAAAGTTGATCAGTTCCTAAAACCATGATTTATCCCATGGTGTTAAAACTTTTGAAGCAAAATGTAAATTATCTCACTTCCATTCAAATCAATTCTTCTGCTGCTTATACAGCAGTAGTTATAAATGATCTCTGAGAAAAAATGTGAATGAATACAATATAACTTCTAATTGTCAATAAATCAGTGCCTGGCTAGTCTTTCTTTGGACTATTGCCCATTTCAGTCCATTCATGCACAGCTTGTAACTTCAAAGATGCTGCTGCTCAATGGGGAAAACCCCACACAGGTGGAATCTATGTGTGAATGGCACAAATGCATGGATGCTATCAATCAAATGCATCTCTCTCTAGCAGTTGGCTTTCTCCACATCATATGAAACCCCAATCTTTTATATGCAGACTCTTGGCAGCAATATATCCAAGCATGCACATTTTCTTTTCTTTCTTACTTCAAGATTTATGTATTTATTTAGTAGAGGTTTAAAATCACAGTAAAAAAGAAAAAAAGAAAAGCAAAAAGAGACTCTTAGTAGTTTGAGATTAAATTTTAAAAAAACTGAACTAAGATTAATCCTCCATGTTAAAACACTGCATTCAACCCTTTAGAAGTTTTCTAAAATCATATTATTATTCAATAATAATCACTTTAATTTCAATGAGTCAGAATGAATTAATAGACATTTCTGTCTAATTCAAGAATTCTGTCCTTATTTAATAAATCAAACAAAGTTGTAGATATTAAAAATCTTAAGAGAAACCCAAACTTCAAATGCAGTGTTAGTCCATATTTAGAACTATAATTCATAAATGGTTCTTAGTTTTGAACCTTGATGTACAGCTTGGTTGCTGATTCCAAGGTGAGTTTGTATATAATACAGTATAGGGATCAGCCATGCTGGCATTATTCCAGCCCTCCACAGAACTTGCATTTGTTTAGCAACAACGTTCCCTTTTAAAACAGTTATTCTGTCTTCCTGACATAGAGAGGAAAATGATAAACTAGCAATTCTTGCTGTGCAACAGCCACTGACATAATGTGTTAGAGCACGGGTGTCAAACTCCCGGTGTCACGTTTCCGTCATGTGCTGTATCGTGATGTTTTTCCCTTCGCAGAGCTGGGGTGGGCGTGGCCTGCACGTGATGCATCCAGACTGCGGGCCGCCAGTTTGACACTCCTGTGTTAGAGGTTGTTAAGTCAGAATCCAGACCTCTTGGTTCAAAGCTGGAACTTGAGCTAGTTAAGTTCTATGACTCAAGAGTGGCCAACCCAAGCTTAGTTTATGGGAACATATGTGATTGTCTTTGTGTGATTAACAAGGCAAATCTTATACCTTAGGACGTTAGGAAGTAAGAGGCCACAAGTGGTTGTGTTCATAAATTCATTATTGAATAAGTGGAAACAAACCAGGATCAGTCTTCGGGATGAGCAAAATAATTGTGGCTTCATTAGCTAATTCCTAGCTTGTTTCTTCTCTTTTTAGCTGTTCTTTTCTTGCACCCTCTGGACTGATTAGAGGATTAGGCAAGAAACAAACCCAAAATAAGATGGAATCCCACAAATCATGTATTCCTCTTTGCACATTGCGCTCGAGATAGAATTGCAGTCAGTAAGCCAGTAACAAACTCTATAATTTATTATCCTAAAATAAATCATGCTTTATTCACTCAGATTTCTTATCCAAAACTAAACCAACTACATTATAATTTACTACAATGTGCTAATTCCTCAAGTCCTGATTCTTGCTCTAGTTGCCCACAATTACAGTGTAGCCCAGAGGGAATCTAGGCATATCACTCTATTTCTAGATGTCCTTCATTGCTAGAGCCAGTTTGGTCTAGTGGTGAAGGCACCAGGCTAGGAAACTGGAGACTGTGAGTTCCAAGTCTCTCCTCAGCCCTGAAAGCCAGCTGGGTGACCTTGGGCCAGTTTCTCTCTCTCTGTCTCTCAGACCAACCCACTTTACAGGGTTGTTGTTGTGAAGAAAATAAAGAGGAAGAAGGTGTGTATGATATGTTTGCCACTTTGAGTTATTTGTAAAAAAATAATAAAGGCAAGATAAAAATAAGTAAAATGAATAAATACTTTTAATCGAATGATGTTTGGAATAGAATGTTTCCAAGCGTCTGGATATTTATTCTATGATTCTTCCTCTATAGATCAGCCTTAAAGGTAACGTCCACCCTACACATTTAAACCTCGTTCCTTAGGAAAATATTCAGTGCTACATTTTCAACCACTTCAGATAAGACTTGCTGTAACTCTTGCAAACTTGTACCTTGCATTGTAGCGCTGTCCTATTTCTCCTTGTTGTACACACAGCAACCGTTAAAATGGCTTTTAGGCTTCCTGGAAAAAAAAATGAAGTTAGATGAGGTTTAATGTGCAAAGGATTTACATTTATTTTACAGTCTACCGATGTACATATTTAAAACAAGTTTTTATTCCAAACTAGAAATGGGACTTTGTTGCTGCTTCAGAGTTCCATTTTCGGCATGGCACAGCACACAGGCTCTTTCCTACTTTGTTGTGGCATCATCCCAGCTTTCAATTCTCATTCAGTCGACTTCCTACTGTTTTTCAGCAGAGAATCTCTTTTAGAATTAAACATAATAATATTGAGCAAAGAACTTTGCCCTGATGCAATTGGAATGTATTTCATCCCCCACAAAGCTACATTTTTCTGCATGGTATGCTCTGTATTTTTCACATTTCCTGTGCCGTTTAATTTTAGCACATATGCTTTCTAACTGTGCTTGCTCAGTGTGCTTTGTTGGGTCCGGACTATTAATGATTGCCTGTAATTGTCATGTTAAAGGATCAGACTGCAAAGGACAAAGCACTCCAACACATGGCAGCCATGTCCTCCGCTCAAATAGTGTCTGCAACAGCGATTCACAATAAGTTGGGTTTGCCAGGAATTCCCCGTCCGACGTTCCCTGGAGCACCTGGAGTAAGTTAATTGGCTAAAATAAAATATATATTTCTCCATAAGTGATTGGCAGAATATGCCTAAATTAGTTAATTTATCCATAAAAGGTTCTTCCCCTTTTCCGTTATAAATCTTTTGGGTTAAAAATGTACTTTACTGAAAGTGACTTTTATACTTTAAATCTCTGTGTTTCATTTCTCTCTTTCCTTTTGACCCAATCTAGTTTTGGCCTGGGATGCTACAAACAGGACAGCCCGGATCTTCTCAGGAGTAAGTTGGAAATCAAGAAACAGGCATCTCTGGTTTTGTATATTGGTTTACATATGTGATGGTATGGAATATTTGCCCGATTGCACTTCCAGGTAGAAATTGCCTCATTTGGTGACTGTTTGCACTTACAACAGTGATGAAAAAGTAACTTAGAGTTCAATTCTTATATTTACAATCTTCACTAGTCTGTAGAGCAAAGGAAAACTGAAGTAAGATCATAATTACAGTCACAGATTTATTTAATGACTATTTCACTTAACGATCGAGTGCCAACTGAGGTCTCTAAACAAGGACTATCTATTATTTGAAATAATACTTACCAGTCCAATAGAATTTAGTGCCTTTCTCTATAAATGAAAAAAGTAATAAACCAACTGGTATATAGTATTTACATGATCAAACTTTTCTGTAAAAGTACTAATTCCTGAAATTTAGAAAATTCCCCAAACATTTCTACCCTGCAGATGGTCCTTGCAGCTACAACAACTTGTTCAATGATCATTCAAAATTATCATGGCACTGAGCAAAGGGAATTTATGGCTGGTCTTTGAAATTGTGGCTGACCCAGTGACCCCACGGTCAGGTGATCTCGGCTTTTGGAAACCAGTTCACATTTACAGTGTTGCAACATTTCACAGTTACGTGATTGTTGCCATTTGCAATCTTCTTTTCCAACTTCTCACAAGTAATATTTTAATTGTACACCACCCAGTACAATGACTGTGAAGTCAATGAGGATCAAATTGTCTTCCTGGTTTAAGAACTTTGCAAGTTAATGCTAAGACTGCAACTGCTTTGTTTCTCTTTTGTCCTAGCATAATTCATTCTAGGCTGTACATTCAACAAACACCAGGTCACAGAATTAGGCTAGGTGTCTTCTGCTCAGCAGGCATGCCACCAATCCAGTTTCCAGCTCTCTGTCCAGCTTGGTTCTGTCAAATTCCGCATGTTAACTGAACGTAGTTTTTTTCCTTTAGTATTTAGTGTCAAGGGAAATACATGTACAAAGATTTATGGCATATTCCTTGACATCTCTTGTGCAGGATGTCAAGGGTCACTCTCAAAAATGGGCAAAGGGCAGCTATTTAAACTTAATAAGTAAATAAGGAATAGGTGGGTTTCAGAGTTTGAGGGTAAAAACACTGGGCCTTTTCATTCACCATTTCCTTTCTTACAGTCACCATAACTTTAAAAATGCAACAAGAAAGGACAGAATTTTGACACCATCCATTTTATCGAGGTCTAAGAGCTGCAAAAAGTTGATGGTGAACATATTTCAGTTTAGGTGCTTTGTACATATAACATAATTTTATATGACTCAATAGGCTGCTGTGAGTACCTTGGCTGAAAAATAGGTACATTTTAAAAGAAAGCAAATAAAAATGTTGAAAGCTATTTAAGAAGAAACATATAACCCAGAAATCCACTCCCAGCCTAGTTGCGTATGAGAATTTATTGAATGTCCAGGAAGTCACCTAATCAATTACTTAAAAAGGCATGAGATTTCTGGTTTATGCTTTGAGTAATTTAACTTTGTGCATGGGTTCAACCAATGAGTTATAGTAGTGAGCTTGGCACCATAATTAAAGCAACTAGAGCAGCCGGGGGTGGGGAGGGAAATCTCTCTTTAGTTGGCCCTTGGGAGGTAGTTTGCGTATGCCTTGGCAAGTCACTTTGCAGCCCGGAGGCAATGCAATTCCTTCTCCTCAAGACAAGAAGGTACAACAGTGCGTTGGGAGATATTGTGCATTGCTCTAAGCCTCGTCTACTGCTTCACTGTAGCTGAAAGAGACTTCTGTACATGCATAGTGAAGAAGCCTCTTCACTCCCTTACTGGGATCTGCCAGAGGAAGCCTCAAAGTGAGATAGCGTGGCCAGCCCATTTGCTGTTAAAGGGAGCAAGGGAATAATGGGACTGCTTTGCTGTCATAGCAAAGCACTCCCATGAAGCTTTGCATGGCCCTTGCTTATTGTGCAGGAAAGTAGGAATCCTAGCCACCTTAAATCTCCCAGAGTTTAAACTTGAGTCCATGTGTTATCCATAAAAAGGCAGGAACAATGACAGATCTGTGATGCAGATGATAATCGTGATTCCCAATAAGGATCCAACCGTTTTGTTTGTGGCTAGCTTCCAGCTGAGTTAAAACTTATACCAAATGCTCCTTGACAGAATTTGGCCCCCTTCCTTTTTTTAGTCAGTAGTTTAGTAAATGCATTTATTGAGGTTCTATTTTTAATACAAAACAATATTTACAGTAAATATTAATTGCACTGGACTGGATTACAATGAGAAGAAATATACTTATTTTTTTTAGTAATAATTATTTTAAGCAAGGGTGTGTGATTTCATTGTCCATTGGTTCGTTTCAGCATAAAGCCATTCGTTCAGCAGGCCTATCCTATACAGCCCACAGTCACCACTCCCATTTCAGGTAACGTTTATTAATTTATTTGTGGTGGGGTGGATGGGACTCAGACCATATTTAGAGCTCAGCACAGGTTGTGGTTGTTAAAGCATGTATCAAAATATGCAGGGGAGTTTGGTAGCCTCTTTATTTAGTTAACAATAATGAATCTATATGTATGTGAACCTGTGTACATAATTATTTGCACATTCATCAGTAGTTACAGAATATGCATGGAGCTTGCTTAACAACTGCTCCCGCTTCTGAGCACAGCAGTAGTTTGATGTGTATTCCAGAATTCTGCACGGTGGAAGCATTAATGAAGCAGAAACTCAGCTAGAATCATTCAAACTGGCGTTGCTGGCAAAAAACAAAACAACAGTGAAATCAAAATGCAGTGTCAAGTTGACCCTGTAAACAATTGTGATTCTTATTTTTTAAACTTTATTTCATGCATTTATTTCACTGCGCTCTTCCTTCCCAAAGGAACTTTCAGAAACCATTAAAAAAAAAAAAAACACCCCAGTAATTATAAAACAAACTATCATACAACAGTAGGATAACACGATTGGAGTACCAGCATGAAAAATGCAGCTCAGGTCAAAAGACAGCTGAAAAGGCATCCTAGTCTTGGGACAGTTGTCATCTTGCAAATGTCTGAGTGAACAAATGTGCCTTCAATTGACCTTTAAAAGACAGCATGAAATTTGTTCCCTCAGAAAAGGCAGCCTAGTTTTACCATTAGCTCATAACCATTTACCGTCTAGAACAACCAATAAATTTATTAATTTCATGAAGGATGGTTCTTTGGTTTTTTTAGGATTTGAACCCACGTCAGCTCCAGCACCATCTGTTCCAGCTTGGCAAGGTCGATCTATTGGAACAACTAAACTCAGACTTGTAGAATTTTCTGCTTTTCTAGAGCAACAAAGGGATCCAGACTCTGTAAGTGCATCTCCAAAGTCTTCCTTCCTTCATTTGTTCATTCATTCATTCACAAGTAGTCCTTGACTTTCAACCACAATAGAATCCAAATTTTGAGTGCTAAGAAAGACAGTTGTTATATGAGTTTCACCCCATTTTACTAACTTTCTTGCCACAGTTGTTAAGTTAATTACTGCAGTTGTTAAGTTGGTAACACAGTTGCTAAGTGAATCTGGCTTTTGAACCTTTTTTACTAACAATGTGGTACTCAGTGGTGGGATTCAAATAATTTAACAACTGGTTCTCTGCTGGGTAGGTGTGGCTGGGTGATCATGTGACTGGATGGGGGTGGCCAGCTCAACATCACTCACCACACCTGGCCCTGCCTCCCAGCCTCTCACTTCAAAAGTCTCAACAAGATATAATCTCTATTTATTTACTACTACTAAACATCACTTGACAATGGCAAGGAAAATCACAAAATGGAGCAAAGCTTAAATCGTGCTTAGCAATGGAAATTTTGGCTCAGTTGTGGCCATAAATTGAGGACTACCCCTACTGAGAATGTAGGATAAGGATCCTACTTTGCTTATCCTTTGGGGGTGACTTTCAAGAAACATTTCAAGATGAAAGATTTTGGGTGCAGGTGGTGGTGGTGTTGCCGAAACTGGTGTCGGTTGGTGGGGCAGCCGTGTTCGGATGAGGGCCGCCAGAGGGTGGCAGGGAATCTGAACAAGGGCAGCGTTCCCGGCGAGAAGGCCCTTTGGTTGCTTTTCACTCCTGCCTTGGGAGTGGGGGAGAATAAAGAGGCCACTCGGCAGGCCAAATGTTCACTCACTCACTTATTTTGCTCTCCTGCCTCCACTCTTGCAAGCTGCCTTATTTCCTTGATGAGGGTGTGACATTGTCCAGATGAGGGTTATATCAGTCGGATCTGATGCTGGCTGAGTCATAACTTTTGACCACTCCCCTTGCTCCGCCCCTTTCATGCTCAGTTTAGACTCAGTCGGCCTGAGAGAAACATCTCCTACAGATCTGGCTATACAGCCCAGGTCTGTTCAATATCACAGAATTGTAAGTCTTTTTGACCACCTTTTTATTTCTATAGCTTAAAATTGTTACTTCCCCTTTAAATTTTTCCCCCCCTTCTATTGTAGCCTGCCGGTTTTGCTTTGCTAGAGCCTCCTAAGCTGCAGGCTTTGCTTCGCTCCTGGCGGCGGCCATTTTGAAAGCCCCATTTTAAAAGGGAACTTTTTTCCTTTTTCTTTTTCCTGTCTTTTTTGGGGGGGATTTTTTTGATCTATCCCACCAACGATTGTTTAAGGGGCCCTAGACCACAATACCACCAACAATAATAGCAATTACCTAATTTTAAGGGAAATTGCCAAATCGGGCCGCCGCCCACCCTACAGCGATCCCAAAACCGCTGATCAGCTGTAGAGCGGTTAATTGAAGCCCCGCGGCAATTTTAAAAGGAAATTTTTGCCGCTTTGCCACCAACGAGTCTGCAAGTTTGGGGGGGGGGCAGCAAGCTTCTTCTTGCCTTCCCCTGTGGCATTTCCAGCCAGTATTTTTATTTTTTTCTCTTTGTGGCTGGGGGGGCGCTGAGGAGGTCCGTTTCTAGGCTTGCCTAGACAGATACCTCCAGAGCAGAGTTTTCCTCCTGCTCAAGTATGACCTGGCAGCCATCGTGCTTAACGCCAGAGTCGTTGCCATCTCAAATTTCAACCACGTGGTGAAACTGAAACCAAAAGCTATTTCTCCAGTCGACATCGTGGTCGCAGTGAGTATACTAAAGATGGCAGATCGCTCTTCCCATGGGGAGGAAAATACTATGTACACTGGGAAGAAATCAACTTCCAAACGTAAGCACCTTTCTAAGCCTGAGGAGAAGGATTTAGCAAAGAGGCATAAATCTCTAGAAAAGCAAGCTAGTGAAGTGCCTGCAACTGAGCCTGATAAGGGGACCCCCCCCCCCATCTACCCCCCCTCCTCCCATTTCAACTGTTAGCCAGGCCTGGTCTTCCGAGGGAGAGGGTAATGTTCTTCAACAAGACCAAAGCAATTTGCAAAACCCCTTTGCAAGTCAATTAATGACCCCTGCAACTCCTGTATTTGGTGGGCCTGCAGCTGCAGCTGCTTCAACAGGTGAATCCTCTATGCCTGTGCTAACCCCCGAAGATCCTTTAAAAAATGTGCCAGAAGGATTGAGAATTCTGATTGAACAGGCCATTGCTTCTAGAATGGCAGCCAATATTCATGGTCACCACTCTGGCTCTGCTATTTCAGAGCGATCTGCCCGTATTAGAATTTCTCCTGCAGTCAGTCTTACTGGCTCTCATTCTCCTGCAGCCTCCAGAGTTAGTGAAGCCTTTGTGTTTGAGGAAGAGAGACATTCTGACCTATCAGATGATGAGGGGTTAATCCAAGATCAACCTGCCTTTACAGGATTATTTCCCCCCAATAAATTCAAGTCTTTATTGCATAAGGCTCGCTTAACAGCCGCCTTAAAGGAAGATGAATACTTTCAAGAGATGCAGGAGGCTCAAAAGGGTGGACTACAGGGACCTTTTTCTGAGCCCCCCCCTGAACTTTGTTATGTACCAACTCCACAACTGTTCATAGACGTGGTAAAGAAACAGTGGGCTGGGCCTGCAACCATGGCATCTGCACATGGTTCAGATAAGAAATATTATGCTGTTGCTCCAAAGTTTGCTCAACTCTTGCAAGTTCCACCTGTAGACAGTCCTGTAGCGGCCCTTTCCTCTTCTTCTTCATACGTAACTGGGGATACTTCTGAAGGTCTAAGGCCAGAAGACAAAAAGTTAGAATTTCTGTTTAAAAAGAACCATCAGGCCTCGGCATGGGCAATTCAATCAGCTTCATCAGCCTCATTTTTTAATAGAACTACCATCCTTTGGCTTCAACAGTTACAGGCAAGGGTACCCCCCAGTGAGGTTCGCCTTCATCAGGATATTAATAAAATCATTGCTGCCACTCAATTTTCGGCTGATGCAACCTTGAATTCAGCCAAATTCGCATCCAGAGCCTTAGCCTCTACAGTTTCAGCCCGCAGGATGCTTTGGCTTCGCCAATGGCCTGCTGACCTTAAGGCCAAATGGCGCTTGGCTGCAGCTCCATATTCTGCAAACAGACTATTTGGGGAATCACTTGACCCTCTTCTTGTAGAGACACGGGACAAGCGAAAAATTTTGCCCTCAACATACAAACGGGCTGAAGGAAGACCCTCTCCATATTACAGAAGGCCTTCCTTTCGTTCCTACCCCCAGGGAGGCCCCTCCAGGCAGGAATATCTTCAGGGATCCTATCGATCCTCGGACCGTCAATATTTTCGGGACAGGAGCAGACAATTCCAACCCAAACGGTCCTTTCGGGGTTCTGGTTTCCGCCAGTCCCGCAGTCGTAAGTGACTCACTACCAAATCCTCCAGTAGGGGGTCGCCTGTCCCTCTTCGCGGACAGGTGGGAAAGGTCATCTTCAGACCTTTGGGTTCTTTCAGTTGTAAAATTCGGCCTCCCCCTGGAATTTCTCTCCAGGCCTCCAACCCGCTTTCTTCAATGTCCAACTTCCAAAAGCGAATCCAGACCTCAATTAATGAACCAAGCAGTTCAGCACCTACTACAGATTCACGCCATAGAGGAGGTCCCCCACGATCAATGGAAACAGGGGTATTATTCCATCCTGTTCGTAGTTCCAAAGCGGTCAGGGGGGTGGAGAGCCATTCTGGTCTTAAAAAATCTCAACTCATACATAGTGTATCGCAGATTCAAAATGTGTTCACTAACCTCTATTCTTCAAGGGATTCGTCCCAACAATTTCTAGTTTCCATAGACCTCATGGGGGCTTATCTTCACATTCCCATCCTGCCAAAGCATCGACAGTATCTCCGATTCAGCTATGCAGGAAAGCATTTTCAATACCGGGCTCTTCCCTTCGGACTGGCATCTGCACCAAGGGTCTTCACAAAGGTCCTGGCGGTGGTGGCGGCTCACCTGAGACAACAACCGGTAAGGATCCAGGCTTACCTGGACGATATTCTGATTCAGGCTCACTCTCAAGAGCAAGCCTTACACGACCTACACCTCACGATTCAAACCCTGAACAACCATGGGTTCTTGGTCAACTACAAAAAAAGTCAGTTAGTGCCAGTCACCAGGATCACCCATCTTGGCGCCATCATAGACGCAGCCCAGGGGACCGTCTACCTAACCTTGGAACGACGGTCAGACATCAGGGACCTAGTAGCTCTCATTCGCAGAACTCCATCAGTTCCATTGGCCACTCTATCCAAGCTCTTAGGCAAGATGGTCTCCTGCGTCCAGATCGTCCCATGGGCACACCTTCACGCTCGCCACTTGCAGTGGTTCCTGCTTCCTTTTCAAAAGAAACGCCAAGCTCACACCATGTTAACAGTCAAAGTTCCACTTTCAGTCAGGCGATCGCTAGGTTGGTGGACATCGCCTTCTCTCGACAAGGGGTGTCTCTTCATGAATCACGACCGACTTGTACTCACTACAGACGCCAGCCTTCACGGATGGGGGGCTCATCTTGCATCACACGTGGCTCAGGGCCGTTGGTCTGCATCAGACCTCGCCAACCCTATCAACTGGCTGGAGCTGAAGGCCATTCGTCTCGCTCTCACGCACTTTCACCGGTTCGTGCAACACCGTCATGTTCTGGTGTTGACAGACAATATGGCGGCGAAGGCACATGTCAACCGTCAAGGGGGCACCCACTCAAAGCGCCTCATGGAGGAATCATTTCGCCTGGGCAAGTGGGCAGAACAACACCTCCTCTCCATCAGAGCGGACCACATTGCGGGGTCGGAAAACACACAGGCGGATTTCCTGAGCAGGACAGAGGTGGACAACAGCGAGTGGCAGATTCATCCCGACATATTTCATCAGATTTGCAACAGGTTCGGCATCCCAGCCATAGATCTCTTCGCCACACACTTGAACAATCAGCTTCCTCGCTTCTTCTCGAGGTTCCCGACGCCAGGGGCGGAAGGGGTCAACGCTCTCCGTCTCACCTGGCCGCCGGGTCTTCACTATGCCTTTCCACTGCTGCCTCTGATTCCGGCCCTGATTCGGAAGGTCATCGCCGACAGAGCAGAAATTATCCTCGTGGCTCCCCACTGGCCACGCCGTCCGTGGTTCGCAGACCTGGTCAGTCTCTCCACATTTCACCCTTGGAGGATTCCACCAGACGAGATTGTACTGCGTCAGGGGAACCTTCTTCATCCGGACCCTCAGTGGCTCCAACTGACTGCATGGCGCTTGAAGGGGCCCGTCTAAGGCAGGACAATTATTCAGATAGGGTGATTCACATTGTTCAAGCCTGCAGACGTAAATCCACAGTCAGACTCTACAATATCTCCTGGCTCGCCTTTTATAGGTGGTGCCGTTCCCGGCAGATAGATCCTGTTTCAGCCTCACCTGCCCAGATCTTGGAGTTCCTCAGAGATGGGTTTGACCGTGGTCTGGCCCATAGTACCCTTCGGAGACATGTGGCGGCTCTGTCTACGGCCTTGTCCAGTCCATCCGGCCGACCACTCACTCAGCACCCTGTGATAAAAAAGTTCCTGCGAGGAGCCAGGCTCTTGCGGCCCTCCTCGATTCATAGATACCCTACTTGGGATTTGCCCAAGGTCCTTAACGCTTTAACTGAGAATCCCTTTGAACCCCTCCGCGCGGTTCACCTTCGCTTTCTCACCCTTAAGGTGGTTTTCCTTATAGCCATAACTTCAGCCCGTCGCATTTCGGAGCTGGCAGCCCTCTCAGTTAGGGAGGATCTCTGTGTTTTCCGGCCGGACACAGTTATTTTGAGATTGGACCCTTCCTTTATTCCCAAGGTTAATTCCCCCTTTCACAGGGCCCAAGAGGTTATTTTGCCCAATTTCTGTTCCCGGCCCTCTCATGCCTTGGAACGAAGGTGGCATACCTTAGATGTACGGAGGGCCCTAAAGATTTATATCAAAGGACTGCTCCCTTCAGGAAGTCAGAGGCTCTGTTTGTTTCCTTTTTGCCAGGCTCCCTAGGGCTCAAAGTCTCTTCTGCCACAATTGGTAGATGGATCAGGGCTTGCATCGCCTCGGCATATCAGGCCCAGGCGATTCCTGTTCCCAATAGCATTACTGCCCACTCCACTAGGAGTGCTGCTACCTCAGCAGCTTGGGCAACTCAGGCCTCCCTTGAGGAGGTATGTAGGGCAGCCACCTGGTCTACCCCCTCGCCATTTATTCGTCATTACAAGATAGATACCTTTGCTTCTGCTGAAGCGTCATTTGGCAGGAGGGTTTTGCAGCAGGTGCATCGTGCGAGGGTCTCTCCAGGCCCTTCGACATCCCGCCCTTGAGACAGCCAAATCTTTGGTATGTCCCTCATCTGGACAATGTCACACCCTCATCAAGGAAATTGGGCATTGGTCTTACCTTAAATGCCAGATTTCTTGAGGGGGGTGACATTGTCCAGCCCCTCCCTCTGTCTCAGTGCCTGTACAGTTTATTGTTCTTGTTCAGTAGTTTTTTTCCAGTTGTCCCGTTGGACCGAATTACTTCCTCCTGATAACGGGGGTTCCTGTTGGAGATACTTCTGGTGGCCTTCCTTCGTCAAAACTGAGCATGAAAGGGGCGGAGCAAGGGGAGTGGTCAAAAGTTATGACTCAGCCAGCATCAGATCCGACTGATATAACCCTCATCTGGACAATGTCACCCCCCTCAAGAAATCTGGCATTTAAGGTAAGACCAATGCCCATTCTCTTCCCGGCTCCTCTCATCCCAGAAGCACTCCCCTCTGTGCTAGCAGCCATCCCCTTCTTCCTCTCCCTCCTCACTGCTAGGCGATCCTGTATGAAGAAGGGCTCCGTGGCCGGGGGGGAGGGGGGATCTTAAAGGGACAGGCCGTGGCGGCTGCCTTCTGAGTAGCTTCCAAGGCAGGAAAAGTCGTCCCCTCCTTTTCGGCTTTCACATACACAGAAAGCAAACACGCACACACCTCATGGCGCCGGAGGGACTCTGCCACATGCCTCTCTCGATTCTTTGGCAGATTTTGGATTTCACTGTCCCGGCAGGCCGTAAAAACCTCAAATAGCTCCATGATCCTACAAGCTTGTAAACCTCTTCCCTTGCCGGTGCCCTCATCGGCCAGCTGTGGAGAGCCCGTGTCTTCCGGGAGCAGGGAAGGCAGTGCTCTGGCAGGCTGGAGAACTTCCAGGAGGGAGCAGGACAGCCAACAGCAGGCAGAAAATTATACACAGGCCTTTTACTGGTCCAATTTAAGAAACTTGAGTTTACTTCATGAACCTCGCTCTGCTGCCTTTCCGTCCTTCCCACCCCTCCCGCTTGTTAAATTTCTCATCCTCCCCCAGGCTCTAGGCCCAATTTAGCAAGATAAGGCAGATGCGCCGGGGGGAAAGCTAGTTTTTTTGGCTCGGCATTGGCTGCCACATTGGAGATTTCATTAAAAGTCCTTTTTTAAAAGTGCAGCCGCAGAGCCCTTCCCAGGGAGCAACGCCTCACTTGGAGAAACTGATCCATCCCAAAGGCGAGCTCCAGAGTTTCCATGCGCCTCTGCTGGCCCAAGTGCCCTGCTCTTCAGAGCCCAGTGGGGCCAGCACCTGGTGGCAATGGCATTCCAGGATGGCAGATGTCCCAGGGCTGCACGCACAGCGGAGCAATGGCCCCAACGTGACAGCCTTCCAGAAGTGGCATGTCTCCCTGTTGCGGCCTGAATGCAGAACCCAAGGCAGAGGAGAGGGTGAGCAGATGGGCAGCATGCAGACAGAGGCCCCGTGGAAGGCGAGAGGCAGGAACTGGCACGTCCCCCCGAGCCGAGGTGGAGGGCAATCAGGCGGCATGTGGGCGGAAGGATGGCAAGAGCCAGGCCCAAATGACAGCCAAGCCTCGCTGTGTCTACCCTGAGGCGCTGAGATATCTTGGCCGCGTGGCCTAAATGGTAGGCTGCAGTGAAGACAGGCAAGCAGGCAAGGCATGGAGATCAGCTGGGCCACAGGGACTGCGTTCTCTGGGCAAGTGAGTGAGCGAAGGAGCCAGAGAGCTGATGGGGCCACAGGCATGACTCTAGGCCCCAGCCAAGGCGAGATAAGGAGTGACTGGAAGGGGTGGGGTGGAGAGGGGTGGGGTGGGGTGGGGCCAGCTAGTGGTACAATTTGCCAATCATCCGAACTGCACAAAATCTTAACAACTGGCTTGCCCAAACTGGTCCCAACCGGCTGAAGCCCACCTCTGCAATTACTGTTTAGTAAAATAAGTAATTCCTGGCAGCATAACTTTTGTTCTAGTTCTGTAGATAGTATCCTACTTATTATAGTTTTTTGCTGGCTTAGCCAAATTCTTAGCCAAATTCAACCCCCAACCACTCAAACATCCCTACGAGATTTAGCAATATTCAGCCAAAAGTAAAATTTGAGAATTATATATTAAACCTCTCTAAGTGTAATTTATTTCAGGGTCATTAGCTATGTTAACATGGTTAAAATGGTGAAATTATACATAATGCTTTCACCCATCTTTCATCTTAATTTAATTTAAAATTTAAAAATAATTATTTCAACATATCTGTTAGATATTTTTTAAAACTGTGCAGGAGAGAATATAATAAATACAGAAAACTGAACAATTTGGAATCAAACATAAAATGTGGGGGGGCTGTAACATTTAAAGTCATTTCTGTCATTCGTTCAAAACCATTTTTTTTCACTCTGTACATCCTAGCCAGTCTTTCCTTTTCAGTTTACTTTCTGCTTAGTTCAGTTGTTCTAAATCTGTGTGTTAACCTCCTGTGTTATACTTACCTTTTCACTCCACCTAAACTATTTATTAGGAAATCAAATTTTCTGCTTTGTACCAGTTTTCATAATTCCCCTTTGATTTACTGTAAATAAATGGATGTGATCACAGGTTTATTTTTATTTATTTATTTACACTTATATGCCACCCATATACTTTGAACTTTGGTTTGTCTAATACATAACAATGTCTGGGTTCATATAATAGAGCAGTGCTTCCCAAATGTGTGTAAATTAAGTAAAAATGTTTTTGGGGGGGTAACTTCACACAAACCACACACACAAATCAGTCACAATAGGGACATTTAAATAAGAACTTTCTAATAAGTGATTTTGGGTAATGAAGGAAAACATTTGGGAAGCAATGATCTATAGCACTTAGAGCATAAATCATACTTAATGTGGCTTGGTTTACATTATTTTGCTAATGTGATTGGCTTGATTTGAATTTAGAAGGGCATGTGAATCCTCCCAATCACCCCCTTCTTTCCTCTTTATATCATTTTCTACCTGCTGGGATCTCTCAGATCCTGCTGTTAGTCTCCTGTTATTCTTGATGATTATCTCTTGACTAACCTCATCAATACATCTCTGTTGGGATGATCACAGTGTAGATCTCGCAACCTTTGTTCATCTCCTGCTGATATTCACTTAGGTTTTGTGAATATCACTTTGTGATGTCACCTTCTCACATCACAATCAGCGTATAACAGATTGAACAAATATTTTCTCCTGAGTCATTTTGTTGATTATTATTCAGATTGTTCCTATCAAGAAATTTAGGTACCTGACTCCCACCCTCCCACCAAAAATCTATCAGTTGTTGTTGTTTCTTTCAAATCATCCATTGTTAATTGGTATTCCCTATACCTAAAAAACAAAACAACCGCATATCATGCTGTAGTCATATTGTGCTTTGATTATCAACATTTGTTCTCTCTGGCTCTCCTTCCTCGTACTTTTATTACTATGGTTTTCTTCTGCCAGCATTCTTCTTTTCTCTCACTGCTTAAATCTTTTGGATCCCTAGATTTGGAAACCTTGGGTAGAACCTCTCAGTACTTACCCAAAATTTACCAATGAATTGAAATTTTGAAAGTAACAGAAAGTAAAAAAAAGAAGAAGAAGAAATGCATTTGAATCATTATATTAACAACATGAAAATTAAAGTTAAATGATTTTATTTATATTTTATTTATTAGAATTGTTTTTTTAAATCCCACTTTTATTACTTTTATAGACAGGGAATATACTATAATACTCCTTTCTCCACCTATTTTTCCCCACAATACCAACCCTTTGAGATGAGTTGGACTGAGAGTGACTGGGCCAACCAGCTTTCATGCCTCTAAGGTGGAACTGGAATTTATAGTCCCCTGGTTTCTAGACCATCACATGGTCTAGTGTAAGGCCCACTGCCTGAAAAGGTTGTCATCAAATGATCAACAGAAGCTGTGTGGGGGCAAAATGTTCTGTCCCCGTCTCACACACGCACACCAGCAGTCGACCAAGAGTTAAAATAAACCAGCAGACAGGAATTTCCTTTGATAACAGAATTGGCAGCAACCCAGTGGCTGCTTGCCAACAGTTTTTTACTTACAAAGGGAGGTTTATCTCTTCCGACCGAAAACATCGAAGTCCACAAAAGCCAAAGAATAGTCAAGTCCAGTCCAAAAAATCAGTCCAAACAGAATATATAACAAAGTTCCAGAAATGCAGAATGACTTGCTAGCTTTCAGTTTTGTCCGTCACAAAGCCTGAATGGCCACCACACCCCCTTTTATCCCCTGTGGGGTGTGGTCCAGTGACTCAGCTTAATCTCTGGCATGCCTCCTTCTCTGCTGCGTGCGCTTGTCTTTCCGAAGCTGTTGGGGATCCAGCCAAGACTTATCTCCGTCGCTGTCTAACTGCGGCTGCTCGGAAATGCCTGGCTCCTGGCCTGTCTCTTCTCCTTCGGAAGACACCTGAGGCATTGCCAGAGAGGAGGGTCCTGGAGAGGGAGGCCTTGCCAATTCTTCTCGTTCACTTTCGGAGTCTTCTCCCTCCGATAAGGGGCTCGGGGGTCTGAGTCACAACACAAAAATATTCTTCAAACATAGATAATTCTGAAGTGCGTAGCAGGCAGATTAGGCAAGCTCAAGCTGCTTGATAATTTTGGAAGGGAAGGAAACAGAAAAAAATAGATTGTGGTATTTTTCCATAATCCAAAGGGGAATAAATATATTGGTCCAATAACGGTCATTGTTTATCTTAGAAAGTGCTAGTAGCAGTACTGAAGGCAGGCTTGGAGTCTCATTAAAAGAGCAGAATGTAGAAACACCAAATCAGCCAGTGGTGGGTTTCAAAAAATTTTACTACTGGTTCTGTAGGTGTGGCATGACTTGGTGCGTGTGGCTTGGTGGGCGTGGCAGCGGAAAAAATCTGTAAAATCTCCATTCCCTCCCCACTCCAAGGGAAGGATACTGTAAAATCTCCATTCCCTCCCCAATCCAGGGGAAGGTTACTGCAAAATCCCCATTTCGTCCCGGTCAGCTGGGACTTGGGAGGCAGAGAATAGATTGGGGTTGGGCCAGTCAGAATTTTTACTACCGGTTCTCCGAACTACTCATAATTTCCACTACCAGTTCTCCAGAAGTGGTCAGAACCTGCTGAAACCCACCTCTGAAATCAGCCCTTACTAAGGTCATTGCATATTGTCGTCAGATCCTACATTTCTGCAATAAAGGTCACGTTATAATTTAAACTGTTTTTGTAAGCATTTTGTATCATTTCTATCATTTCTAGAGGGTTTTTAACCTGTAACCTTATGGGACTTGGGGCTTTTCTCCATTCCTCTGGTGAGGGGCCCAGTGATTCCCATAACTATATGGCAATAAAAGAGACTTTTTTTTATTTTTACATCTATCTCCAATTGCTTTGGTTCTTTTTTTAAGCATGCATTTTTCCACAACAGGTGACTAGTATTTCTTGTGAAAAGTTGAAAGCTACGTTCTACATCATGCAAATGATAAAATGTAGGAAAAGTTCTTACAAGTTTTTTTTATGTCAGGTTTTGGAAAAACAACAACAGCTTGAGCAGACAATATTGCAATAAGTGAAGTAATAGCCAGGCTCGCTCTCTGTATGGATTTTTTAAAATTGGAGATTAAGAAGCTAGATTTTTATACTATAGAATTTTTATACTATAAGACTTACAAGAAACTATAGCAATATTAAGAAATCTCTTAATGATATATTATTATATTAAATGAAATATAATTATTATATTTATATAATTCCCATTATTATTTTTTTCAATTGGCTTCTCTATGGAGTGTCACAAAAGAGTAAATATCTATTTAGTTTGTTTTCACACAGAGAAAACATGTTTAATTGAACATTTTATAAAGATTCCCCCCTCCCCTCAGATATTCCATGAACACATGGAATTGTCTATCTTAATTTTATTCAAAAGCTTGTGAACTACAATAGCCTGCAGAGGTATTTTGAGGTTTTTGTATGTATATAACTGTTTTTCTCTAAGGCAGTGAGTATATGTGAAAGGAGATATTATCAAGAGTGTTTTTAGAATAATAAGAGATCAGATATATAGCACTATAACCTTGCCTAAGAGGAATCTTTACAATAATCTATGAATAAAAACTAACAGCACAATGGTAAGAAATATTAACGGAAACAATAATGGTTCATTTTTCAGTGCTGCTCTTTGAAAGACTGAATAAATGTTAATATTAGAAGTAAAGATGTTTTATCTCTTATATGCTAAGATATTGATGTTAAGTGAGCCTATTAATACTTGGGATCAGTGATCATGTTTTAAACATGTCTCATATTTGCATTGTTCTGGTATTTGCCGATAGAAAGTGCTAACAGATCAACCTGTATGGGTGATTGGCCATTACCTTATTGTCCCTTTTCAGTCAAAATCCATTATTTCCTTCAATTAGAGAATGTGGAATTAATTGAATTTAGAACATCATTGCTGTGATTGCCTCTTTGGGTTTATATTTACTGGTTACTGATACATCCATACTGCAAATAAAAAGAATCTGAGTAAAGGAAATAACTCGTTGGCTTGAGAGGCAGAGTAGAACTTCACGAACAGAAATAAGACTAACTTAAGGGGAGAATAACAGTAAGTATTTATTCCCTGTGTAATTTAAAAATGACTCAGCAGAGATGGTATGCCATAAATAAGAAATGAAGTTGACATGAAGATTCCATGTCACATTTTATCCCCATTCACAATACCTTGAGGTAAAGGTGAAGATTTATTTCAGCAGCAACAGCAAGAGGAACATCCATATTGTTCAAAGATCTAGAGAAGCATTGGACACAATAGAAATCGATAAAATGTCAGTGTCAGTTATAAAAGTTATATTACCACATATATATTAAACAATATATTTAATTATCCTAGATCTTTGGAAGCGTTCTGACAGCCAGAGTACCAATCAGAACCATTTGGGACAACAAATGTTAAAAGACAATAACAACATAATTTTAACATTGAATGAGAGTACAGTTGTGCTACTGCCATTACTAACAATAAACAATACTTGTGAGGGGAAAAAAAGAAATGAAGTTATACGTCCTGCCTGCACCAAAAGGCACATTAAAGAACCCTACAGGTAGTCTCGATGCTTAGCGTGTTTTACAAGGATTTTACCAAAAACTGGCACTCACTTCCGGGTTTTGGTAAAACCATGCCCATAGTCAACTATTGGTTTGCTTAACAATCATAGTGTTCACTTTACATCCCCCACATTCATTTTAACAACCACCACAAAAATGTTACAACAATTGACTGTAATGGGCACTATGATTATATGTTGAAGACTACCTGAAATGAGAAGGTTCTTCTTCATGGAAGAGCCACACAGACAAACAGAAAACCAATTCAATACAATGCTGACCTTTGCTGTCCATTCAGATGCTTGCTGGAATTGGGAATTAATTTGTCATCATTCTCCCACCCTGAAAATTCTGGGATGCTTTGCAAGTCTTTTTTTTTTTTAATAAACCTTTATTAACATTTAAAATCCAAAAATACAAGTTAAAATACCTCTATGACAAAAATACATCCGTAATAATTATACAATTCAACGTCTTTCTGACAGTACATAATTCTCAACTTTCTTCATCTATTCCCACATATTCCTATTTCATCAACATATTTAAACACATTTTAAATCTTATTTTATTCTTTACATTCCTTATTTTTAATTTCTATCCATTGATACCAATTTTCCCAAGTTAAGTAGTATTCCAAGTCTTCCTTATTATTTAATTCTAAAGTAAGTTTGTCCATTTCTCCACATTCGAACATTTTCCGGATTATTGCACAGTCTGTTGGTATAGTGGATGTTTTCCAGGCTTGCGCAAGTACAATTCTAGCTGCTGTAGTTATATGAATGATTAAATATTTTATCTTTTTAGGGTAATTTCCTTTAATAATCCTCAGAAGAAACAGTTCAGGTTTAAATTCTATCTCACAGTGTGTAATTTCTTTTAGCCATTTTTGTATTTTAATCCAAATTTTTTTAACTTCTGGGCAAAGCCACCATACATGGAAGTAGGTACCTTGTACTTGGTTGCAT